ATTCGTAGAATATATGCCCGAGCACATGCCTTTGCTTGATCCTCTGAAGCATTTTCATTTAAAACCTCAAAATTAGCTTTCAACCAAGATAAAGCTATTCTACCTCCATTAAACTCTGGCGGAGCAGCTCCAAGATAATCAATGCACATTGATTGCCAATCACCATCCGCCATACCACACATCATATTTCCGTCGACGGGAAGCCCCAGATGCATAGAGACATCCTCCAACGTAATTGTTGCCTCTCCACATGGAAGGTGAAAAGTGTGTGTCTCGGGCCTCCACCTCTCAATCAGTGCAGAAATTAGGACAGGTTCGAGTTTGCAACCGCCTATAATTGTTGCAATATACCCGAACCCAGCAGAAGCCAAATATGGCAAAATACGTTCCGGTGTCGGTATACGTGGATTTTTAATAAAAGTTTCTAAAATACGATCAGCATCCTAAATAATATATTATAAAAAGTAAAAATTAATATAAATTCATAATAACTTTAAAATAAAAATAAATTTAAATATTAACATTAATTATAAAAATATTACCATATCGCTAAAATGTCTGGAGATATGATCATTATCCAATCGCAACAGCATTTCGTTTTCCATTATAACTGTAGACAAAACAATATAATTAGCAAAAAAATTAATAATTCTAAATAAATAATAATTATATAATATTATTTTAATAATAAAATAATATTTACATAAATATATTAATATAAAAAATAATAACTATTTAAAAAAATACTAACATAAAAATAAATTTCTTACCACTAATAACAAATTTAAAACTCAAATAGTTGGAGAATTTGAGTTATATAAGAGAGGAGAAGATGATTTTGGTGTGAAGAATGAGTGAGGGTTGAGGGGGTTTATATAGGGGAGGAGGAGGGTAGTTAGGAAAAACGGATGGGGGCATTAATGACATTTAATGGAAGGCGCTTCCCCGGGGATGCGCCTTCCACACGTGTCTGCTGATATGGCAAAGGCGCGTCCCCGGGGACGCGCCTTTCACACGTGGCATCCAACTCAGCGAAAACACGGGTAAAGCGCGCCCCCGAGAACGCACCTTTGCCAACTCAGCAGAAAGGATGTTAGTTTTGGAAATATTGGTCGAACGGTGTTAGAAAAGTAAAAATAAAAATAAACGGTGTCAGTGGTAAAAAAACCCTGAGAGAACCCATCAACCTGTACGATAATGGCATCACTATACCCTGCATCTGCTGCTGCTCTCCCCGTACTCTCAACATGCGTCGCCATCAAACTTCATTGGACCACCTCGGAAAACGTGTTTCGTCCGTACACCTTGCAGTGTAACCAGGGACCACCACCGCGCCACCAAGCAAAACAACAGCTACATTACAATTTACAATTTACAATTTACACACATCTATTCGTTAGTTGAATTTTAAAACATTAATGAAGTTTTTTTAATGGATAAAACGAAAATGGTTTCTAATTATATGATATTATTTTATTAAATTTTTTTATTATTAAAAATTATAAGATAATCATTCGACTATAGAATATTACTGTTTTGAATCCTTCAATTATTAGAAGTTGTAAAATAGTTAGCCGATTATTTATTATGTTCTAAACTAATCATTTTCTGTTAAAAATGGATGATATTCTAAGTTGAACGTTAATTTGTTGATTGTGATATGATAAAATTTGATCTCGAAATCTCAAACGACTATCATATCTCAGTCATCATGTCAACATCCAGTTTAAACAATCGCTAATTTTTTAACGAAAAAGAACGACTATGAAACATAATGAATAGTCGAGTGATCATTTTGTAACTTTTAATAGTTGAGAAACACAAAAAGATAATACCCCATAGTCGAATGACCTTTTAATAGTCAAGAGACTTAATAAAACAATACCCCATAATTAAGATCATTTGCGTTCTTTACCCATAAAACATTAATAAAGTTGATAGTAATAATAAAATGACCTAACTCCCCCCCCCTCATGTTCCACATAATTCAAATGCCTTTTCTTTATATATATATATTATCAAAACAAGCATCTACCAACAACCAAAAAATTATATGTATCCCTCGATCACTCATAATTGGATTATGAGTTGTATTACTCAGCCCAGATTCCGGTAGCTTTGAATGAGGGTCGGTTGGCTGTTTTGAAGGGGCTAAGGGGATCAGGTAAGGGGATCCTCTCTCCCCTATTTTATTTGTGCTAGTAATAAATGTATTTTTGTATATATTGGATGTTGATGCTAGTCATGGGTTGTTTCAATTTCATCCAAAGTGTCATCATATCAAGCTCACATACTTGTGTTTTGTTGATGATCTTCTAATCTTCTCCAAAGGCAGCTATGTTTATGTTATGGGCATTTGGACTGTGTTGTAGGAATTTTATGTTTATTCTGGGCTTGTTTTTAATGCATCTAAGAGTGAAGTTTTTTCTAATGGAATTGCTAGGGAGGAATTGCAGCTTATCGTGGAAGAGACGGGTATAAAGGTGGGTCATCTCCCTGTAAGTTATTTAGGCATTCCTCTTGTCACTAGGAAGCTTTCGATTGCTGATTGCAAGCCGTTGATGGACATGACTGAGGATAGGTTTCAGACTTGGGCTGCTCGACATTTGTCTTATGCATGCAGAATGCAGCTAATTCAAGCTGTTATTTTCAGCATTCAGAATTATTGGAGCAGACAATTGGTGCTGCCGAAGAAGGTGGTGCAGCGAATTAGTCAGCTCTGTACTCGGTTCTTTTGGAAGAATTGCGATTCTTCTTCTAAGGGGGCTTGAGTTAGTTGAAGTACTATCTGTTGTCCAAAGTCGGAAGGAGGCCAAGGGATCAAGGATTTTGAGGCCTAGATCAGTGCTTGTTTGATACAGCTCATTCAAAATTTTTTAATGAAGAATGGATCTTTATGGGTGACCTGGAGCTATGAGTATGTGATGAGGGGTAGTGATTTATGGTTAGTTAGGCCTAAAGTGGGATGGAGTTGGATTTGGAAGAGACTTGTGAAGCTTAGGGCCAGTATTCTGAACGACATTTTTTTTTATTCTGACAATATTTGGGGTGTTGATAGGAATAGGGCGAGAAGATTACTAGGCATAAGTTGGTATGGTTTGGTCTTCATATTCCTTGGCATTCAATGATATATTGGATGTCCATTTTGAATAGACTGCCTATTAGAGATAGGCTTGTTTCTTTTGGTATTCGGGTTGAGGAAGTATATGTCATGTGTAGAGCTGATCAGGAGACTAGGAATCATGTGTTCCTTGATTGCCCTTTCTCAAGGGAGGTTTGGACTTTGATCTTGAGAGCTTGTGGCCTTGAAAGGCAGGTGGTGGACTGGGAGTTTAAACTGAGTTGGACGATTCATCGATTTAAATGTAAATCTCTTCTCTCTATCTTGTTGAAATTGGCTTGGAATGCAATGAATTATTTTATATAGAGAGAAATGAACCGTAGAATATTCCAGGGGAAACAAGGTTTTGTGCTGGGGGTTGTTGCCCAAGTGCGGGATGTTATTCATTGGAGGCTGTCTGGGAAAAATATTAATAGACTAAGTCGGATCAATAGGACTCTTTGTAACGAGTGGAAGTTGGAATAACTTCGGTTAATGTGGGATTATGGGTAGTTGGGGTGTGGTTTTGTTTGGTTTTGGGTGTTGTTTATTGGTAGACTGAGCTACTTTCTGGATAAATAAAATTCTGCATTTATCCAAAAAAAAATTATATGTATCTTAGTTAACACTGTATGGATGAAGGAATTATAAATTAAATTTAAAAATAAAGTATAAATAATAATAAAAACTATTTTTTATTATTAATAATAAAAACTAAAATATAAAAAATAAATAAATTAAGAGCTCAAAAAAATAAATGTTCTTATATATATGGGCACCTGCCCCTAAAGTATAACATAACTCCGTCATTGACTGTAAATTCAAATATATCTAGCTAAAACATCATTTTTTTATTTATATTTGACATATACTAAAGTATTTTTTTAATGGAGGAGACGGATTTAAATATTGTATTGTAATATCATATGTTGTATGGTGATAGTGGTGTCGTCTGCAACCGTTATTATATGACAGTGATATTCGAAATCATCATAATAACGTTCATTATATTTGCAATCATGGTTGACACAACATAATCGAAAATACGACTGTAATTGTGATTTAAATCCTTGGTCGGGTTGACACCAAACAGTTTAGTCGATCCATTTGCATTAAAGAAGACTGAAAAAAAAACCAACACAGGCTGCAGATAAGCTTTTTTTTTCTTTTAGAATAATAGAACAATGTCAATTTGAATTTCCTGGCATTGCCTTGTTGATACTAACCACTTTGAATTTCCTGTTGTGGGGAAGTCACAGCACAGGAGCTATTCCATTTTCTCTGTTTGTTATTCTACTTCTACTTCGGTTCTGCATCTCGGTTCCACTCACCCTAGTTGGTGGATACTTTGGGGCTAAAGCACCTCATATTGAATACCTTGTTCGAACCAATCAGATCCCTCGGGAAATTCCAGCTCAAAAGTACCCATTCTGGCTGTTGGTTCTTGGTGCTGGGACTCTTCCTTTTGGTACGCTTTTCATTGAGCTTTTCGTCATCATGTCTAGCATTTGGATGGGGTGAGTTTACTATGTCTATGGCTCTCTGCTCATTGTTCTGATCCTGCTTCTTGTGGTTTGCGCTGAAGTATCTTTGGTGTTAACTTACATGCATCTCTGTGTGGAGGACTGGAAATGGTGGTGGAAGTCCTTCTTTGCATCAGGTTCAGTTGCTATCTACATCTTTTTGTACTCCATAAATTATCTCATATTTGATCTTAAGAGCTTGAGCAGACCTGTGTCTGCGACTCTCTACATGGGGTATTCTCTCTTCATGGTTCTAGCAGTTATGTTTGCAACGGGCACAATTGGATTCCTTTCGTCTTTCTGGTTTGTGCATTATTTATTTTCTTCGGTAAAGCTGGATTGAAGAAACCTCTCCGAACATAAAAAACAGATCATCAATGTGGAAACTGGTCCTAATTGAAGAGGCTCTGGAGAAAAGAATACTATCCCTTTACACTACTCATTCGCCTGTTACTTGGTACTTTGAGGGTTGTTTTGTTAGGTAACTTTAGTAAATGTAATAATAATTTTGCACAGTTTTGTTCAGTGTTGGGAAATAAATCGAGTAACAAGTAATTTTCCTAAAACCAGATTAGTGAGAATGCGAAATAAAAGCAGAAAAATAATACCCGAAATTGATAACGGAGTTAAGCTAATTTTGCTTACGTCTCCGGACTGTTGCAGATCTTTTACTAAGAGAGAAAATTTACATGTGTTTACAAAACACTCACTATTCACAAGAAAGCTCTCTAGTATTGGGAGAAAGAAAATGATTTTGAGATGGTTTTGAAGCTAAATGAGCTAGGGTATTTATAGTTGAAGTTTAAGGAATTAATCTTGTAAATACCTTAAAGTCTAGGGATTAATTGTGATTATCCCATTATCATTTTTCAATAAACATCTACCAAACTTTGAAAAATTATTTTTCAAAGAAACATTTACCAAACTTTGAACATCATTTTTTTCAAAGTTGGTTGTCAAACTTTGAACTTTTAACAATCTCTCACTTAAAAACTGATTTTTTTCAACATGTCTGCCGAATTTTTTTCAACATGTCTGCCAAACTTTGAGGGTTGTTTTGTTAGGTAACTTTAGTAAATGTAATAATAATTTTGCACAGTTTTGTTCAGTTCTTTATTAGATATATCTATAATACATTATATACTGCGACACGATTTTGTTGACAATTGTTGCATGATTCTAGATGGTCGGATGATCAAATTGGACGACAATTTTTTTTTTAAAGTGGGCAGTCAATATTGTTGAAATTGGAAAAGGGATAATTACCAAAGTAGATATTTTATGTTTGTTGGAAACTAGAGTTAAAGAGGAGAAATCCATTCCTATTTTTTATTCTAAATTGTCAAATTGGCATGTTAGTTCGAATTATGATTTTGCTGTCAATGGGAGAATATGGATACTGTGGAAGAAAAATATTGAATTATCTATCCTTCAAGCGTCTGATCAGATCATTACTGTCAAAGGCTCTTTTTTAGGAGCCCCTTTTGTTTTATCTGCTGTTTATGGTAGTAATGACAGCATTATTTGAAGACAGCTATGGCAGCAGCTTTATATCCTGGAGAGAAACATTGGTCATCTCCCCTGGATGCTAGGCGGTGATTTTAACATCACCTTACATCCTGATGAATATTCAGACTGTGAATTCTTATGTCCTAACCCCACTTCAGAAATGAAAGATTTTCAAGATGTTTCTTATGAGCTAGACCTACATGATCATCCTTACATAGGACCTATTTTCACTTGGAGCAATAAGCAATCCGGGTCTTACCTTGCAAGGAAGCTGGACAGAGTTCTTATTAATTCCAATTGGGCTACTATTTTTCAAAAATCTGCTGTTGAATTCTTAGTACCGGGCGTATCCGACCACTGTATGGCAATTGCATGGTTCTATAAAGATGCTCCTACTAACCTCCCCAAACCGTTTAAGTTCTTCAACTTTTGGACACTACATCCTACTTTCTTGAGTGTAGTAAAACAGTCTTGGCACCCAACTATTTTTGGAAATCCGATGTTAATCTTGTTCCTCAAGCTCAAGCGCCTCAAGACAAGTCTAAAAAGCTTTAATAACTCTTACTTTAGTGAGATATCCAATAGGGTCAAGTCTAAGAGAATTGAGTTGGAACAACATCAAATGCTCTCTTTAAAAGGAACGAATCCTATTGACAAAGAGCTCCAGATTCAAAAAGATCTTTTCATGCTTGAAGAAGCAGAGCTAATGTTCTTGAAACAAAAAGCCAAGATTCAATGGATAAAAGAAGGGGATAAATGCTCCAAATTCTTCCATTCTGCTGTTGCTGTCAAGAACAAGAAGGAAACTATTCGAATGCTCATTAATGATCAAGGATTAAGATTAGAATCCTTCGATGATATGGCCTCCGAGGTGATAGCTTTCTACAAGAATCTATTTGGGAGCGTAGATACTAACGTCAAAGGCTGTGACTATAATTTCTTGAAAAATATTCTAAGTTATTCACTGCCTCCAGAGCATTCTTCAAATCTCATCAAAGATGTCACCACAGAAGAAATCAAGGAAGCTGTCTTTGAACAAGGCAATGACAAAGCCCCGGGGCTGATGAATACACTCCACTGTTCTTCAAAAAGACATGGTCCATTGTAGGTGAAGATGTAGTGAGTGAGAGCAATCAAGTATTTTTTTCCAGCATTCCTCACTGTTTCCTGCTTTTAATGCTACCATAATTGCTCTTATCCCTAAAGTCCCAAATCCAAGTAAAATCAAAGATTTCAGACCAATCTCCTGCTGCTCAGTCATTTACAAGTCTATTACCAAGATTCTAGTCAAAAGACTGACTCCCCTTATTCTAGGAATGGTTTCTTTAAATCAAACTGCATTCATTAAAGTAATAAGCATTGTTGACAACACCTTACTGGCACAAGATCTTGTTAAAGGGTATGGAAGGAAAGTCATCTCCCCAAGATGCTCTTTAAAAATTGACCTTCAAAAGGCATTTGACACTCTTCATTGGGGTTTTTTATCTGCTGTTCTTAAAGCCTTGGATATTCCTCAAAGATTTATCGATTGGGTTGAAGCTTGCTTTAAACAAGCTCGATTCTCAATCTCTTTCAATGGAAGTCTTATTGGCTATTTCAAGGGAGCAAGAGGCATTCGACAAGGTGACCCTCTATAACCTATCCTCTTTGTTCTTTCTATGAATATTCTTTCCTCCATGCTTAATATGGCTGCTGCTAGAGGACTTTTTAATTATCATCCTAAATGCAAGAAAGTAGGAATCACTCACTTATCATTTGCTGATGACCTACTGATATTCTTTAAGGGTAATGTTGAATCAGTAATTGGTGTCATTACTGTTCTTGAAAGTTTCTATGAGATGTCTGGTCTGAATTTAAATGCTGCAAAATGTATGTTCTTCACTGCTGGAATTTCTCTTAGTCACATCGAGCATATCAAGCAAGCTACAGGGTTCACTTATGGTCATTTACCCGTTCGATACCTTGGAGTACCATTGATAACTCGCAAACTCTCTGAAAATGACTGTGAATCCCTCATTGCAAGTATTAAAGCTAGGCTCGCTCTATGGTCTGGTAAAAATCTGAGTTACGTGGGAAGACTTGAACTCGTTCGAGCAGTCTTGTTCAGTATTGCTAATTACTGGTGCCGGCAGCTTCCCCTTCCTCAAGCCATAATAAGCAAAATTGAACAACTTTGCTATAGGTTCTTCTGAAAGGCTCAGATAAATCTGCTACAGGTGCAAGAGTCAGCTGGACTAAAATCTGTCAATTAAAATCTGAGGGTGGTCTTGGGCTGAAAAACCTAAAAGATTGGAATAAAGCTTGCTTGATCAAACTCTTAAAGAATCTACTGGCTGGAGAGGGTTCTCTTGGATTGCTTGGAACCATGCTTATGTAATAAAGGGTAGAAATCTGTGGCAAATGGAAAACAGAGCCAGTTTCAGCTGGAGTTTCAATCGTATCCTCAAATTACGCAGTGCAGCAACCACACCTATTTCGAATGGGGCATCCTCTGTTAAAGACATTTGGCAGGAGATTAGGGTGAAGGAAATCAAAGTTCCCTGGCATTCATTGATTTGGTTCCCACAACATATTCCTAAGCACAGTCTCATTGCTTGGATGGCAATCCTCGACAGACTGCCAACCCGAGACCGACTGATGCGAATGGGAATTATCACCTAAGGGAATTGCGTGTTGTGCAATGATAAAATGGAATCTAGAAACCACCTGTTCTTTGACTGCGATACTGCTTCATTCTTATGGACAAATATTCTACTTCTCAGCAGCATCAATAAACAATGCTCAACATGGGAGGAATTGCTAGTTTGGGCTTCTAGATCTTGGAAAGGAAAGTCTCTTATCTACAATCCTTAAGCTTGCATGGTGTGCTTCTTTATACCTTTTGTGGGAGGAGCGTAACAGACGAATATTTAGAGGATACCACCGAGCCAATGATGATCTCCTGATTTGCATCAAAGAATTTGTAGGAATCAAGCTTAGGGGGAAAAACATTAATAGGACTGATAGAGTTAACTCTAACCTTTGTACTCCATGGGGTTTATATTAGAACCGATCTGATGTTTTTTGTATGTAGTTTGTACACTAGGTGTTGAGATCGGTATTTTTTGTAGCATTTTATGCTTCTTTGGGTAATAAAATTGATAAATTATCCAAAAAAATAAATATCCTAGCTCATTTAGCTTCAAAATCATCCCAAATCATTTCTTTCTCTCAATACTAGAGAGATTTCTTGTGAGTAGTGAGTGTTTTGTAAACACCTGTAAATTTTCTCTCTAATAAAATATCTACAGCAGTCCGGAGACGTAATCAAATTGGTTGAACTCCGTTATCAATTTCGGATATTATTTTTTCGTTTTTATTTCGCATTCTCACTAATCTGGTTATAGGAAAATTAATTGTTACTCGTTTTATTTCCTAACAAATTTGGTATTTCATTTTTGATGTATTGGAGACTGCTTTGGGTTGTGTTGGTAACTTTCTTTGTGCTGCTTATACTATTTTACTTCAGGTGCTAGTTAATTGAGTATAACTGGTTGTTTGAAGGGGAAGTTTACAACAATGGTTACAACAATGGAGGCGGTCCCTTGTATTGCTTGATCACGGCTAAGAAATTAACAAACAAAGCCTCAACTTGTTTGAACACGAACTTCTTTTTCAAATTTAGATAGTCAGGAATCAATAACATAAGAAGAAAATGATCATAACAAGAATTTTTGGGCATATTTGGATTCCCGTGGATGTAGATGTAGCAATACTCTTACAGGATTACAGTCATTATAAAATGGTGACGACATCATATAAACAAAGAAAAATCTAAAGAAAAAGGACTAGGGGATCAAACCAAGCAAGAAGAAAGAAAATAAATAATGGCCATGAGAAGTTTACGGGGCGGATTCCATTGCCTTGAGAATATATGTACAGAATGGTGACCGTTCAAATTAAAAAAAAGGATGAGAAAAAAGGGAGTATGACGGGTATCATTTTATTCCTTTAACCAAAAGGATTTGCTCCCCATTGTAGGAAAGGAGTTCGGAGTATTAGATTTGTCTACCTGCAGGTTCTTGAGTTGCATTTAAGAAACCGAGTTGAATTTACCACTGCCCGAGCCACCTATTCCTTGTGGGCTGCAATGGTGATTCAAAATCCTCTTTAACAAAACTTTCTTTTTAAGCTTGATATGCATGCGAGCTCAAGGAAAACACTACTCTTAAATTGTCTCAATATATCTGATAGATGCAGAACTGCAGATAATAGAAGAGAGCCAGAATGAAATGTAACCTGGAAGGTGGAAGTCCTCGGTTTAATTGATTCCCCATATATACACCTAGGATCATAAACTCCTTGTAAGCATGAGAAATACCGTATTAATATGAACTTTTAGCACGACTAGAAGAGAACTGAGTTTACCAGAAGGCATTGCCAGTGTGAAAGGTGATTCTGCAGTCATATTAGATGCAATATTTGATGAGTGAGATGCTATTCCTGAGGAATGGGCATCGATACTGGGTGTACGAGGCAAGAGGCCTCCGACAACAGATGCCAAAGAAGGAGACTACAAAACAAACAACAATCAAGGCATGTACATTTTGAAATTGGAGGAAGTTAACAGATGCAGAAGATACTTCGGAGACATAGAAGTCGGTGTTAGTGTATCAGAGCAAAAATAAGAACTCTTGAAACCTCAAAAAACACTTCATCAACGTAACTCAAAAGTATAAAAGTCGAGTGGCGCCAACAAAGGTGGGTAAAGTTTGTGATGCAATTCTTACAGGTGGGGCTTGTGCTGGAGTCGCATCACTGTTGAGATCAAATGAATTTGGCTTAGCAGTGCTTGTAAATGCTGCTGCAGGCTGCGAACATGTGCATACCTAGAGTTTAGCGAATTCCAAATGTCGAGCAATAAATAACATACAAGTCGTAGAATCTGAAATTCCTATGGCTCGGGATACCATTGCATTATGATAAAACATCAAATCAAACCCAGCTCCAGCTCCAGGGGAGGATCCATAGCTTTCAGTAAAGAGATCCTGCAGGGATGGAAGGAAACACTGTTAAGAAAATTCATAAATGTCACATAAAACAGAATATAATCATCACCTGTGGAAGTTCCCTTCTTCCGCTAGACTTTGTTTCTGCTGAAAGAGGCTTCACTCTGTCTTTAGAACTAGTTTCTTCAGCTGATTTTGAGGTGACACCAGAAATTTGTTCAGTGGATAAATTGGAAGATTGTTGAGCATTGTGCATCGGCAACGACATACCAGGCTGCAAATATGAACATGAAGCAACAGAATTAGCAAGTGAAATGAAGTTCACACATTTTTATCAAATTACGGGGCATATTCTTCAGGTTTCTCTAATTTCCACCAACTTCTAATCAACTCCAATGATAACCTGGTTATTCAATGCTTCAACTGTTCGAGGACTTTGTTCTGCATGCTTTTGCATGCCGGGAAAGACATGCCCGTAAGGAGATTGTATTTTTGGGGCATTGATAGCGGGTGGAACTGGTGAGGAGCCTTTTTTACTTGTCAATGCCAAAATCTGACCCTCAGGTATTGCTGGAGAAATACTGTTTAATGAAATGTCTGTCCGGAAGCAGTCGGTGGAGCACCTGCAGTGCCTGGTACAACTGACAGATTATCAACAGGTACCACAGAGGGAGCTGAAGATCAAATAGAAAAAGATCCAAGGGGTTTGCACTGGATTCCGGAGTTGCTTTTCCCTTTGAAGAGAGTTCATCTGTCCGGTTACCAACATCACTTGACGGTTGCGCCGGCAGCAGATTTGGTGCTGCCTCAGCATTTGACGGCAGAGCATCCATGCTGAAATCAATCAAGCTTTCCATGCCACTAGATGATGATGAGTTCTTCTGCGAAGCGTAAAAATAACAGCATAAATGAATAGTCTTCTGAAGCGCTGCATGGAATACAGTTCAGTAATCCACAGCTTCTCGGGGAACAATTAAAATTTTAATTGTACTCTATAAAATTAGTTGATAAGAGTAGTAAAACAATTTATTTTAGATGAATTATTTATTTCTTTTTAAGATTGAAACGTCAGTTAATTTGTGATAATTTTTTTAATGATATCCGAATATTTTTTTGTTGAAATTTCTTCTTATTAACTGTTCAAATGTGAAGCTCGAGTTATATCCGTTCTAGTGAAGATAACTTACCTAAATTTAGTTTTTTATCTTTCTTTTTTTAATTTATTTGAAAAGTTAATTTTTAAAATTTTCAATTAAAAAAAATATGATCCTTCCAAGAAATCAAGATCTTTGTTTCCCATCATCGGTTCATTCACAAATCTATTTATATGTATTAAGCGTTCAAATACAAAATAAATGATTCAAATATGCAAACGAAATCCTATTAGAGTTTCATATCTGAATTAGGTTCACTTGCCTGTTGTATACTTCTGAATCATCATTGTGTGTGCTACTAAAACTAATCCACTTGGTTTCTTAGAACCAAAAGAATGATCAACAACAAGCCTCTGAAAGGGAACGCCGTTAAGAGTCATATTACTTAAAGAAGTAGCAACATTACCTGGTTTTGAGCAGGAGGAGCATCCCTTCCAGTTTTTTCATTTGAATGTTCACCCACCTGTAAGGCAGGAACATTCTCTCCCAAAATATCTCTAATGGGGCGCACCACTGGAGAAACAACCCTATCTAGGTGGTCAGATGAACTGCTTCTCACATGTTTGCTCCGTGGAATGCTGGGGTTATCTTTTGTATGGCATTTCCAGGACTATCATATCGGCGCCTGTTATCGATAATCTCGATTTGCCTATGGTTTCTAGGAGAAAATTCATATATAGAATTTTCTTGGGGAAGTCGAGGACTCCTTGGCTCAGTATAGATAACCCTAACAGCACCACTTTTTCCAGCAGGACTAGATCCTCCGTATTCATGTCTACCTTCATGAAGTGTAGTTTTGGATCTAGTAAACACAATGACCTTCTTCTTTTCAGGGGACTGCGCTCTGTATCGCTGCATTATATGTAGAGAAATCTGTTAAAAGTAAACATCGGAGACAGAGAGCACCATAAAAAACTTGTAAACAATGCCACCAGTAGAAAATTAATGTGTCCCAAACATGTCAAACTAGCAGTTTTTAATTTTTATAAGTTGATCGACTATGGCAAGAAAGAGTTTATAGAAGTATAATATGTATGTATAAATGATTAAACGGTTAACCAGAATCATTACCAATCCCGGACTTGGAAGCGTCTCACCGGTGAATTTCTTATCCACATAGACATGCTTGATGAAATTTCGGAGCATAGGAAGGTCACTGAAAGCAAACATATATGAGTCAGGACAGATTCTTAATGAAGCACAAACAAATCCACTGGAAAAAAAATGCTTGATTACCTGGAATTGGGTAAAGAATTGCGTTGAGGATCCCATGTCTTGAAGTAAATTTGTCTTGCTCGCTGCAAAAATTACGAGAAGCAAGTTATAAAAAAGAAACTGGAATCAAAGATATCAGCAGTGACCGTTCATCACGGACCTCGTTTCCTCCTGCTTGAAGAGCACTCGCTTCTTCTTCAGTAAATTTAGCCATTGATACTGATTTCACCCTATGGGTGAATTCCCTACTGAAATAGTTCAAACAATGCATCAAGTAAACTAATCATCATTTAGCAATCCGCAC